TGGCGCGGAGGCGGTGGGAATGGGAGGAGTGGGACTGGCGCAGGCAGTTGGTGGGGCGGGGCAGGGTTGGCACAGAGGCAGTGGGACCAGAGGGGGTGGGACTGGCACTGAGGCAGTTGAGCTGAGGGCTCCAGGCTGGCATTAGGGCAATAAAGCAGAAGGGGCAAGCAGGCAGTGTCCCTGTTCTTGCTGCACATGTTTGGCTGGTGTCTGTGAGGAGCCCTGGGGATGGGGCTACATTCCTGGGCCTTGTTCCTGCTCCTCCTCCTCCTCAGCCCAGGTGAGGTGGAGAGTGAGTTGAGTAGAGATGCCAGAATGGGGAGGTGTTCAGGGTCATGCTTGAAAGGCAGAGGCCATTCAAGGAAGGGAGGGAATCAGACATCAGAGAGGTTTTGTGAGGAAAACTGGCCAGGATAGGGAGGAGTAGCAGGACTGGGGCATGATGAAGAGAACAGGCATCAGTGCTGGATCTAAGGGTGGGAGATAAGGGGCCATGGCTCTCCAATTTTATAAAGGTACAGGTATCTTTGGGAACACAGCAGGCGGTAAACAGTCTACTGATCAGTTTTATCATAAGAACTATATTGTGGCATTTACCTACAGCACAAATCTTGGGGAGACATGGAGCTGTACAATTCCGATTGGAAACTCAAGGGAGAGAGATCCTGCTGATGTAGGAATATGATGGGGGAGGCGAGGAAATCATGGTGATGGAAAAATGATAGAAGGGGTTTAATGAAGAAATTTGCTTGGGTTTGGCTTGGGAAAGAGAACCCGAGGAGGAGTGATGCTACTGGTTTTCTCTGTGTCTAATCTTATCAAGGGGATTACAAATATTACTGAATTAAGATGAAGACTTCATTCCTGTTCTCCCCTTCCCCTCCCCCCTGGAATTGTTTCTTCTTGGCAAATTGTCCAGTGTCTTATATATCAAAATATTTGCAGTGTCAGAATGTAGAGAGGCATGTATCCCAGTAACTATAAATGTATATTCCATTGAATTTATTTTTTCTCTTTTTAGGCTTTACTGAGACTTTAAAATTCCTCTACTCTGAAGTTATAGTGCCAAGAAAGCTAGAACCAAGAGATGGCATAGACACAAAGGTGGTATTACTTTCTAAGAAAGTTAGAATTGCTATGTTAACTCCATTAATCCAGACATTTAGTAGCTGTTAGTACTAGCTGCTTCAGCAAAAGGGGTAAGCACCTCTTCTGAAGCACAAGCATCGATTATCCTTAATATAGTCTTTGCTTGCCTGCACAATTTCACATGAAATTTTTAGAGTGGAACTCAGTGTGCCTAGGTAGGATTTATTATTTGATTGTTGGTAAAACATATACAGGCAGTCCCCGAGTTACGCGGATTTGACTTACATCGGATCCACAGTTAAGAATGGGGCTTTTCTCGCCCTGGAGCACTGGAGCGGCGGGACGCCCAGATGCGCTGCAGTCCCGCCGCCCCCATCCTCCGGGGCGAGAAAAGCTGCTCCATGTCTCCCTGGTCTGCTGGGGGGGAAGTCCCCCCCAGCAGACCAGGGAGATTCGGAGCAAAGCCGCGGAGCACGCCCTCAGTGTGACAGAGATGGAGCAAAGCCATGGAGGACGCAGGAGGTCCCGCCACCCACGTCTCCCTGGTTTGCTGGGGTGGGGGGGGCAGCTAGTGCCCTCCCCCCCCCAGAAGACCAGGCTTTTCTTGCCTACGCCTGGGGTAGAGCAGCTGGGCGCTGCCGGGTTGGTACAGTAGCGCCAAGGAGCGGTGCTGTGGGACCAACCCGGCAGCGCCCAGCTGCTCTGCCCCAGGCATCCTGATTCAGCCGCTGCTGGTCAGTTTCAGCAGTGGCTGAATCAGGACGCCTGGGGCAGAGCAGCTGGGCGCTGCCGGGTTGGTACAGTAGCGCCAAGGAGCGGTGCTGTGGGACCAACCCGGCAGCGCCCAGCTGCTCTGCCCCAGGCGTCCCCAAGTCAGTCGCTGCTGAAACTGACCAGGGGCTGACTACAGGAAGCCCGAGGCAGAGTTGCTCTGCCCCCGGCTTCCCGGAATCAGCCGCTGATCAGTTTCAGCAGCAGCTGACGCCAGTTCCGACTTACATACAGATTCAACTTAAGAACAAACCTACAGTCCCTATCTTGTACGTAACCCGGGGACTGCCTGTAGCATGTTATTCATTGCAAGACTTTAATGAATTAAGATGGTACTTATATGCCTTCCATTAACAAGGGATATAGACACTACACAATTCTTAAAATGTTTGTCCTCACTGCCATAGCACTCCTGTAAAGTAGGGAAGTACCCAATTTGAAAGACTAGTCATTCCATGATAAGACTGTTTTTGTCTAACTTCTGGTAGGTGAAAATAGCCCATCGTCAGGAATGATTTAGAACCCCTGAGAAATAATTCTAGCATTCTGATTTAGGTAGTCTGTCTTAAACTCCTCATATAGTATGAGCATTGGAAGTTCATGTTGTACATCCTTTGAATTTTTTTTTTTTTTTGTATACGAGAGATAAAATTTGACTTATGTTATCAATTTAGGGATTTTTTATCTCTTTTCCTATTTGAAATGTTCCACAACACTTTTATGGGCTCCAACTGGTATAAGAGTCTAGAAGAATGCAAGTTTATGATCCAAATTTTAACCAAGTGAGGCAAGTACTTGGTTACAGGGAGAATGTAAAGCAAGACACACAAAAAGCCAAAATGAACTGAACACTATAAACTGAATTTCAACCTTCTGTATTCATTTTGACTCCTGGGGAACAACTTCATCTTAAGTTTTGACCTGGAATTGCAACTTTGTCATGTGGCTGAATGCCACAATAGAGCCCTTATGATTAAACTGCAACCAGTAGATGTCATATTTTTAAACACACCAAATATAAAGAATGCCTGTATCATGGAACACTATAAACAAGCATGGTGTTTTCATTCTAAAATTTGGGTTTCCCTGACAGGCAGTCTCAAAAAATGAGTGGCACATGTGGAATTCAATCATGCTCTACAGTTAACAAACTAGCTATGAGATTGAGACACTTTCTTTCTGTGCTGCACATATGCTATGAAAGAATAAAACACAATAACTATTAAAAGATATTATCCTACAGGACAATGTGCAGTTCTGAGAATCTGTAAAAAAGAAGTTGCAGAAAAATTCAGACAGTAAAAGCATCAACTGTTGGATTTGACTCTACCCATTATTCCAGAATCATTATTCAGCCTCCATCGGTGTGCTGTGGCAATAGTGTTTAGTGTCTACTTTCCTAGGCTCTATGGTAGTTGGAAAATTCTCCTATTTCCCATTTTAACTGACACCAATTGAGCTCCACCCATTTTAGCAATTCTAGGAAGCCTAATGTAAACATCACTCCCAGAGCCACAGCCATTTTTCACTGTAGGACAGAACTTGTTCTGGGCAGGTTTCACTGATATGGTGTTAAATACTGTTGGAACCATTGGAGGCTAGTTTATATTATGAATCCTGATACTGCTCATGGTGATGCAGCTGGACCAGTACTGGCAACTTTATTTAACAAACCACTACTGTAGAGAGTGTTTTGATAAAAAGGAGAAAAAACCCTCTAAACATAATCTGAGGAAATGTAGTAAATATAATGTTCAGAAAATGGAATTCTCTGTGGGTTTTGATTAATCAAAGTTTTAGAATACTACTGAATAATACTTCTTTTGAATGCTGTAGGACAAGGTGTCTTATCTAATCCAAGTTGAAGAAAAGTTCCATATTGTTCACCTACTACAGAAGAAGTAAGTGTCTGTTTTCTTTCGAACCTTTCATCTGCCCCCCCACCTTTTTTTTTTTTTGAGAAGTAGATGTATATATGGTTTTACAACCAAGTATGAAGACAAAAGCTCCTCCACAGAAGCTGTCAATCTAGATAGGAAGAAATAACAGAAGTAGTAAAACATTAGCAGATAAGATGCAAAGGAAAAGGACCTGAGTTAGACCACTAATGATTAGGGAGGGACAAGCTACCTTTTATTATTATGTTGATTTTTACATTCTTTCAAACCAATCCACATGAAGCTCTACACCATGTAACCTTATGCCATTGAAGAATATTTCAGAAAGTTTTGAGAGATGCTAACAAGAAAATATGTGTTAACTATATGAGAATTCAGAACAGTAGGCTCTTCCTGGATGTGGTCTCAGCCAGGGGCATGGGTACCTAGAGGGAACTGCCAGCTGTGCAGAACAGCTGGTGGTTCTCTCTGGGGAGGGCAAAGACTTTGTGTGCTCCCCCCCCGCCAGACCAATCAGGGTCTGTGGGTAGGGAAGCATGGAAGTGTCCTGGACCCGCCCCTTCCAGAGTGGTCCTGGGCCACTTCAAAAATTTCTGAAGTGCTCCCCAGTCAAAAATAATTGCCTACCTCTGGTTTAGATTGAATAGATTGGCCAGTAGTGAGCAGGATTGGCCACTCACTGACCCCGAGGAGTAAGTATCCCTCCCTGAGCCTGGGTGGTCTGAGATGGAGCCTGCCCCTTTAAGTCCACAGGGGCCTAGGGGAGGGGCAGGAAATATAAAAATTGAGCCCAAAAACTCAGTAGGGGGCCAGCTGTCGGAGGGAGCAAAGGTCTACCCTGAGGATGCTGAGGAGCTGGCCGAGGTGGATGACTGGCCCACATCTAAACTTGTCCCTACGCCTAAACTTGAACTATACAGATCCTGTGAACCTGCCACTGCCTGGGAGCGAGGTACAAACTGAGGGGGAGACTGGAAGTGGCCCAGGGGAAGCAGAGGATGGTCAGGTGGACCTGATCACTCTTTAAAGTGTGTCAGCATGCTTTGGAATGGATTCCCTACTGACCCCAGTGGACACCAAGGCTGCCACTGCTAGGGCCCTGGGCCGGGACGTGGTGAAGTAGGGAGGGCCCACATCCCCCCTGCCACTCCCATATTGGGTGGCAGTCTTCCCCTTCCCACTTGTGCTGTGACTTTGGGAACTGTTTGTTTGACTGCCCCACCCTGAACCAGGGCCAGGGCCACCATTTGACTTTGAGAGCTATTTGGTTGCCAGCCCGCCCTCAGGCCCCTGGTCTTAAAGGGGCTGCCAGTCTAGGGAGTACAGGCCCGAGCACTGGGCAGGGGCTCAGGACTGAGCAAGAACGCTTACAGGGCCTCAAAGGTCTCACTGTGATCCAGTCACTCTTCAGGTTTTGGGTTAGGTATAGAAAAAGCTCAGCTTGCTTAGGACCATAGTACAAAGGTCATTAACATTTTTAAGAAAGATGGAAACAGTTAAAGAAGGATAACAGTTAAAGCATTTGACCTGTAAAGTCCTAAGTAAGGCTTGAATTTTAACAACAACTTTCTGTAGTTTTATCTGAAATTATGGGTTACTTTAAGCAACTCCAAAGTAAGCATTTACATCTACTTTGATTTGTGATTTCAGACCCCAAGATTGATTACAGCAGAGAGGTTATTAATAGAAGGGGGACCCCATGGTGCACAAGAGGGATTACATATAGTCTTCTTTATGTGTACCATGCAGTCCTTTAATAAAAATCACATCTGTCCCATATTATTTCATTCATATAAGTGCTTGATTCTTACAAACACACTATAGATTAGTATAAGAATGATTTTGTATCAGTGTAATGTTGATTATTTTACCAGTGATTCTTATAAATATAGTACACTGTAATTGTTTTATTGGTCAACAAAAGTAATCTACACTTTGCAATCTGGAAAAGGAAACAACAATATGGAACCTCTAGCATTTTATTACTCGCATCATCTCTTGTAGAGAAAACCAAAATGTTATGTTGGAATCCTCCCAGGCACACAGGTGGGGATACAGCTTTTTTATGTGTTATGCTGAGGTCCCCTGGAGTTCATACATATGCCTGAAAATTTTAACTCCTTTTCTTTATTTGAATGTCCACAACAAATTACTTTGTGGTACTCCATTTTTCATAAGCTAACTCATTAGTGCCCCTTCTACGTACTAGTAAAAGTGACTATACTATTACAAAGCAATTTCAAAAACCAGCTGGAGAGAGAAGCTGCAGAAGTTGATTTCATTTACAAGCTTGACACCAGTAATCAAGGTATGAACAAAGATTTGACCTGAATGGGCTGCTACATTCCACATCCTAATGACATAAAAAGCTAAGCACTGGGTACTTACAGCCCACTCTATTAGTCTTATTTAGAATGGACGCTCTAATTGACAATAAGGCGCTGCAGGACTATTTGTGGTTTAGACTAATCCTTTTTTTATCTTCCTTTTGCACCTTTTTAAAGCAACATTCACTGGGAGAGAGACACTTTATAAACTTTTCCTTATTTTTTGCAGTTGAGCTTACAATTGTGGTAAATGTATTGAACCAGTTATCACAACACACTTGCAGGGGAGAAACAAAAGCCCTTGATATATTTGTCTAGCTCCAGATTGGTGAAACACCTTATATCCAGCTGTGGAGCCACCCTGGAACTAAAGAAGGTGGATTTGTCTTTAGCATATGTCAGTGCCAAGAGCTTCAGATTTTGTACGGCAGGTCCTTCAGTGCTGGAAATCGGGTCAGCACTGGCTGGAAAGGTGTTGTTAAACACACTTATTTTTTTCAGTGCCTCATTTCTCTCAGAACCAACATTTGCAGACAAATTACTACCCTCCCCCCTTGCCATTTATAAAAATCCACAATAATACCAAACAGTCTAATGAGGTATTCTTGGAACTAATTAGGTATCTTCCAAATGAGGCCCGGTAGAATTAGGATTCTGTTTTCCTCCACCATTGGTCCATTGGGCATCCCTGGTTATGTTACTTCATCATTTTGTGTGTTTCTTTCCCCTTCTCTAATATAGACCAAATGGTGTCTCTGGATTAGGACTATTTTTGTAATGAATGCATAGCTTGTGGTGTACAGCTTTATGGCAAGAAGTGATTTCTGCAGAATGCACCGTGTCTTCACTTTTCATAGAATCATAGAATACTAGGACTGGAAGGGACCTTGAGAAGTCATCGAGTCTAGTCCCCTGCCCTCGTGGCAGGACCAAATACTGTCTAGACCATCCCTGATAGACATTTATCTAACCTACTCTTAAATATCTCCAGAGATGGGGATTCCACAACCTCCCTGGGCAATTTATTCCAGTGTTTGACTACCCTGACAGTTAGGAACTTTTTCCTAATGTCCAACCTAAACCTCCCTTGCTGCAGTTTAAGCCCATTGCTTCTTGTTCTATCCTCAGAGGCCAAGATGAACAAGTTTTCTCCCTCCTCCTTATGACACCCTTTTAGATACCTGAAAACTGCTATCACGTCCCCCCTCAAACTTCTCTTTTCTAAACTAAACAAACCCAATTCCTTCAGCTTTCCCTCATAGGTCATGTTCTCTAGACCTTTAATCATTCTCGTTGCTCTTCTCTGGATCCTCTCCAATTTCTCCACATCCTTCTTGAAATGCAGTGTCCAGAACTGAACACAATACTCCAGTTGAGGCTTAACCAGTGCAGAGTAGAGCGGAAGAATGACTTCTTGTGTCTTGCTCACAACACACCTGTTAATGCATCCCAGAATCATGTTTGCTTTCCTTACAACAGCATCACATTGCTGACTCATATTCAACTTGTGGTCCACTATAACCCCTAGATTCCTTTCTGCTGTACTTCTTCCCAGACAGTCGCTTCCCATTCTGAATGTATGAAACTGGTTGTTCCTTCCTAAGTGGAGCACTTTGCATTTGTTTTTATTAAACTTCATCCTATTTACCTCAGACCGTTTCTCCAATTTGTCCAGGTCATTTTGAATTATGACCCTATCCTCCAGATTAGTCGCAACCCCTCCCAGCTTGGTATCATCTGCAAACTTAATAAGCGTACTTTCTGTGCCAATATCTAAATAGTTGAAACCATCTTGTTAGTCTTTAAAGTGCTACATTGTCCTGCATTTTACTCTCTGAGAACGGTTATCCAGCCAGTTATGCACCCACTTTATAGTAGCCCCATCTAAGTTGTGTTTACCTAGTTTATTGATAAGAATATCATGCAAGACCGTATCAAATGCCTTACTAAAGTCTAGGTATACCACATCCACCGCTTCTCCCTTATCCACAAGACTTGTTATGCTATCAGATTGGTTTGATATTATTTGTTCTTTACAAATCCATTCTGGTTGTTCCCTATCCCCTTTCCACTTTCCAAGTGTTTACAGATGATTTCCTTAATTACTTGCTCCATTATCTTCCCTGGCACAGAAGTTAAACTAACTGGTCTGTAGTTTCCTGGGTTGTTCTTATTTCCCTTTTTATAGATGGGCACTATATTTGCCCTTTTCCAGTCCTCTGGAATCTCTCCTGTCTCCCATGATTTTCCAAAGATGATAGCTATTGGCTCAGATGCATCCTAGAATACTCAAGGAGTTGATAGAGGAGGTATTTCATCAGACCCTGGTGACTTGCAGGCATCTCATTTTTGTAGGTGATTTTTAACTTGTTCTTTTTTTATTTTACCTTCTTAAACTACCCCCTTCCCACTAGCATTCACTATGTTAGGCGTTCCTTCAGACTTCTCGGTGAAGACCGAAACAAAGAAGTCATTGAGCATCTCTGCCATTTCCAAGTTTCCTGATACTGTTTCTCCCTCCTCACTGACCAGTGGGCCTACCCTCTTCTTGGTCTTCCTCGTGCTTCTAATGTATTTATAAAAAGTCTTCTTGTTTCCCTTTATTCCGGTAGCTAGTTTGAGCTCATTCTGTGCCTTTGCCTTTCTAATCTTGCCCCTGCATTCCTGTGCTGTTTGCCTATATTCATCCTTTGTAATTTGTCCTACTTTCCATTTTTTATATGACTCCTTTTTCATTTTTAGATCATGCAAGATCTCATGGTTAAGCCAAGGCCGTCTTTTGCCATATTTTCTATCTTTCCGACACATCAGAATAGCTTGCTTTTGGGCCCTTAACAATGTCCCTTTGAAAAACTGCCAATTCTCATTATTTGTTTTTCCTCTCAGTATCGATTCCCATGGGACCTTACCTATCAGCTATCTTTTGATTCACAGACCATTTATGTGGCTACATAAAGCTATAGAATTCCCTGACTTCTGTGAGACTGAGAAACCTAAATACTTTTGAAGAACTGGGCCTTCCACCTTATGTAACTGACTGTTCATATGCATCAAGACTTCAGACATCAGTTGCTGGGATTTTTGGATCTGGTTTTAAAACTAGGCTATGAGTAGATAATTTACCAAAGGTACCTTTATTTCCCAAAGGCTGATCCACTTTTTACCAAAGAACATACATCCTGCATGTTGTACTCAGCGTCACTTTAGTTCCCTAATATGATAATGCTTCCTTAAGATGATAAGCAATAACCTGATACAACAATACAGCTAAAAAAAGAACCCACCACACCATCCAGGTTATCCTGGCTGTCCAACAATCTTGCTGATCTAAAGCTCAAATCTCCCTTTTGATTTTTCTGTGTCTGTCAGTTTCATATATTGTATCAGTTGGTATTCTGCTTGATTAAACACATCCTCATGCATCAGTTGCTGCTTTCCTCTCTTAGCAATTTTAACTATCTTGAATTAGTATTGTAGTTTCTGGAGGGAAAAAAACCCAGCCATCTCCATTCTTATAAAATAATTTGCCTAACAGCAAAACTAATTACAAATAATTTCACCTAAAGACTGGCAACCGTATATTTTCAGCAAGCACCAGATTATGTATATTGTCTTCTGCTTTTGGATTTCTAATTTTTTTAATCTTTTATTTTCAGAATGTTCATAGTTCCAAATCTCCCAGTTTTTACTTACAATAAGAGGGGAAACTTGATAACAGATTATCCATATATACAGGTAAGCATGACGCATGCTCCCGAGAGGGTGCAATACTGAGTAAAATTAAAAAGCCATGCTGTTAAGACTGGATGGATGAAAGCTATCAGTTTTGATAACAGATTTTTGGGTTTTCAACTGGGTTATAATTTGAGGGATTTTTCTTTGTAGTGAAATAATGATATCTTGGTCTGAAAGCTGATGAATTTAACCCTAAATATGGTTATTAAACCCATGGTTAATAACCTCACCTTAAGTTTAGTTCCGTCTGAGAAGCTAACACATGATATATGTGAGTTCCTCCCCTGATTTAAGGTCACTTGCTAGTTGTGGTGGTACTTCCCCGGTGATGCCAGTGCATTCTCTCTCACTGTCTTCTGCCAGTTCTTCCTTGGCCTTTCTCTTACTGACACATTCTTACATGTCATGATTTATCACTGTGAGGTAAAATACTGACTTTTTAAAACGAATTGATCAAATTGTATATGAAAGAGAGGAAATGACCTGAAGAAAATGGGTTGTCAAACTTCTGAAAGTTGCAAAGATATAAAAAAAGTTTAAAAAATCATTGGCCATTCCTGTCTGTTCTGAGTTCCCTCTTCCCTTGTTACAAACAATATTTTTGCTTTAAAATAAAATTAAGGAGTAAAGGTTGTGTTTTCCCAAATATACAATGACTGTAAACACAAATGAATGGTTATTAGAGGGCCAACAGCCTTGCTGACTTGTACAAAGAAGTATATTGAGAATCTGGTGGTGGAAAGGGCCCATGCTTTTTCCCACTAAAGGAATTGGCTGAACTCCCATTGACTTCACCAGAAGGTGAATTGTGCCTTAAGAAAGGAAATCAAACAATTAAAAAAATATACTTATTTCTAGCAGTTTGAAAGCTTCTTTCTCTGATTTATTGGTAGTTTTTCCTTCTTTCATGTAAGCTTTGGTGCCCTTTAATGTCATCTAAAGAGGGTGAGAAATGAAGTGGCCACAACTGTTGCTAGCTATCTTTAATTCACCATTCAAGAGGCAATCAGAATGGATACTGCAGTAGCCAGACTAACTGGAAACATATGGTTGGCATTTTTACGTGTCCGTTGCACATGCTTTGTTTGTAGATGGGACTTATGGAACATGTTGCCCTAGAAACTCTCAATTTCCTTCCCACTGTATACATAGTTAAGCTGATTCTTCCTCCATCTTCCACATCCCAGTATAGATAAAGCCAAACATGGAAGGAATAGAAGAAAGGAGGGAATGCACTCCAGTGGATAATTCACCAGAATTTTTTTTTAAAAAAGTATAGACCAAGCCAATATATTTTTGAAATTGCTGGGTTAATTTTGATGGATTTAATGTGTCCAGAGAGTCAGAGGTATTACTGTGACCCCTTTACTGTTCAACATGGCATGCAGAATACGATAGAGTCCAATAGTGTTATTGTGAATTCTGGGGTCTCAGAATTGTGTGTGGGTAGTAGCCATGATGGTGAATCTTTTTCCTCCCTTCTTTTTCCTCCCTTCTGTCTTCTGGGTGACAGATATGTCTGTAAAATCATGATTTCTTCCTCCAAGTATCTTTATTTTTAAGAATCCCAAAGGGGAATGATACCCATGACAGCCCATGCCCTAATTTTGTTAATTAGACTTGATTTGTGACACGCTACTTTAGGACCATTAATTTCTGGCTTCAAGCTACTTTTGTTTACTAGACATGATTTCAGCACAGTCTTTGAATGACCTCACTAGGCTTTTTTAAAATTAATTTAGTCCTTTTGCTTCTTTGCCTGTTAACGTTTGTTACAACTGATTGGAACATTTAAGCCTCTGGTGCCCTGGATTCCCCTCACAGCAGTCCTAGTAGGTGACCAAAAATGGGTGCTTGCTAGAGTCTATGAAAGAATGGCAGCAGTGATGCGATTTACATGGTAGACTAAAGTGTGGGTGGGCTTTTTGTTTGTTTTGTTTTTAAGATATTTATGACAGAGATTATACTTTTGCTCTTTTTTCACTGAATGTGAGGAGTAGGTCTATTTGTTTGTTTCAGGTATAAGTTAATTAGGAAGCATGATGTATGAACTTTTCATAAACAGCAGCTTCTGAGTATGAGTGCATTGCTACTGATCAAAAGAAATCTAAGTGAACATAGACTCATAGACTGTGGGACCATTATGATCATCTAGTCTGACCCCCTGCACAATGCAGGCCACAGAATCTCACCCACCCACTCCTGGAATAGCGACGAGGAGTCCTGTGGCACCTTATAGACTAACTGAAGTGTAGGAGCATAAGCTTTCGTGGGCAAAGACCCACTTTTTTGCCCACGAAAGCTTATGCTCCTACACTTCAGTTAGTCTATAAGGTGCCACAGGACTCCTCGTCGCTTTTGCAGATTCAGACTAACACGGCTACCCCTCTGATACTCCACTCCTGGAATAATCCTCTCACCTATATCTCAGTATTGAAGTCCTCAAATGATGGCTCCTCCAGCAAGTGATCCATGCCCCATGCTACAGAGGAAGGCGAAAAACCTCCAGGGCCACAGTCAATCTACCCTGGAGGAAAATTCCTTCCCGGCCCCAAATATGGCGATCAGCTGAACCCTGAGCATGTGGGCAAGACTCACCATCAAGACACCCAGGAAAAAGTTCTCTACAGTAACTCCTATCATCCCACCATTGGCCTATTTACCACCGATAGTGAAAGATCAATTAGTTGCCAAGATCATGTTATCTCATCAAACCATCCCCTTCATAAGCACATCTAGCTTAATCTTGAAGCCAGATAGGTCTTTTACCCCCACTACTTTCCTTAAAAGGCTGTTCCAGAACTTCACTCCTCTAATGGTTAGAAACCTTCGTTTCGAGTCTAAATTTCCTAATAGCCACCTTATATCCATTTGTTCTTGTGTCCACATGGTATTAAGCTTAAATAATTCCTCTCCCTCCCTGGTATTTATCCCTCTAATATATTTAAAGAGAGCAATCATGTCCCCCCTCAGCCTTCTTTTGGTTAATGTAAACAAGCCAAGCTCCCTCCTCTAATGGTTAGAAACCTTCGTTTCGAGTCTAAATTTCCTAATAGCCACCTTATATCCATTTGTTCTTGTGTCCACATGGTATTAAGCTTAAATAATTCCTCTCCCTCCCTGGTATTTATCCCTCTAATATATTTAAAGAGAGCAATCATGTCCCCCCTCAGCCTTCTTTTGGTTAATGTAAACAAGCCAAGCTCCTTGAGTCTCCTTTCATAAGACAGGTTTTCCATTCCTCGATCATCCTAGGTGGCCCTTCTTTGTACCTGTTCCAGTTTGAATTCATCCTTCTTAAACATGGGAGACCAGAACTGCACACAGTATTCCAAATGGGGTCTCACCAATGCCTTGTATAATGGCACTAACACCTCCTTATCCCTACTGGAAATACCTCGCCTAATACATCCCAAGACCGTATTAGCCTTTTTCAGTTCCAGTTCTTCCCTTATCAGCTCTTTGTCTGATCTGTCTTTCCCTTACCCACTTGTTCCTCATAACCACATACCCCATCCTATCGGCTGCCAGTGCCAGTCTCCCTCAAGACATGCATGCACACTTCTCTCTCATATCCTTCACCTTGTTTTCTGTGGCATGCTTTTCTTTCTCAACTTTGGCCAATGTTAACTCAAGATCGTCAATATCTTTCTTCAGCTCTGAACATTCATCCTCCAGTTTCCTCTTTTTGGCTGTCAGTTCAGCGTTCCCGTGGAGGTGCGGGGCCTTCGGGACGGGCTCCCCCCATCCGGCGGCGGCTAAACCTGCCCAGCAGCTGAAGCGGGGAAGCCGGGAGCAGAGCAGCTGGGGTGCTGTCAGGTTGGTCTGGTAGCGCTGCCGCTCGGCGCTGCGGGACCAACCCAGCAGCACCCCAACTGCTCTGCCCTAGACTTCCCCAAGTCAGCTGCTGCTGAAACTGACCAGCGACAGACTCTGGGAAGCCTGGGCAGAGCAGCTCTAATTGTCCGACTGCCTGGAGCACTTCCGGGTTCCAGGTGGTGCCGGACTATCAGGAGTGCCGGACCACTGGATGCCGGACAACTGTAGTTTTACTGTACTATTACTCCAATTTACAAGATCATCCAGATCTTGCTGTATGATATCCCGGTCCTTTACTGAATTGGCAATACTTCCCAACTTTGTGTCATCCTCAAACTTTATTAGCACACTCCCACTATTGGTGCTGAGTTCAGTAATAAAAACAATAAGATTGGTCCCAAAACTGATCCCTGAGGAACTCCGCTAGTAACCTCCCTCCAACCTAACAACAGTTCACCTTTCTGTATGACCCTCTGAAGTCTCCCCTTTAACCAGTTGCTTATCCACTTCTCAATTTTCATATTGATCCCCATCTTTTCCAATTTAACCAATAATTCTTCATGAGGTACTGTATCAAATTACTTACTGAATTCGAGGTAGATTAGATCCACTGTATTTCTTTGAAGTGAAGTCTTAAAAGGTCTTTGAAGCAGGATGCAGATAATCAAGTCGTTGAGACAATGTCCTTTCTGGTTGAAATGGAAAGAAACTGTTTCTTCTTTGTGATCCTGTCTGATATCTGTTTTGTGGGCATTGATCCATTATTTCTGCCCTGTTAACATGGGTGAAAAGCAGTAAAATTTGGTTTTGACACCAAAAACGGCAGTCTGAGTTTAGAATACAGGAGAACAGATCAGCTGACTGAAAGGGCGTCATTTCTGCTTTCCTTTTTCATGTTAAAACTGTATTTGAGACCACATACAAAAAATTAATCTCTGCATTGTGTATAGTTCATGTTGTGTAACATATCTTTTCTTCTGTTAAACTAATGTTAATGATAGAAAATAAAAAAAAATCGGGGGTCTTGCAGGATGATTGCTACTACTCTGGATACGTGGAGGATGTTCCAGATTCGGTTGCAGTTCTCAGCACTTGTTCTGGACTCTGGTAAGATAGACTCTTTAGTATGCTAGACTGCCAACATTATGAATTTCTTCTTTCTAAACAGAAAGGTAGATTTAGAATAACAGAATAAGTCCTTTTACCTTTTCCTAATGCCGATTTCATGCTAACAAATTAAGGGTTAGAATCACAGATCTGTAGTGTTTTGTTTTATTTTATTTTATTTTATTTTATAAATTGTAAAACAATATGTAGTACAGTGATGACTTATCTACGGCTTGATGACCATTTAGTGTTCTTCGGGTTCTTAACTTTGCCTCTCCAAAGTTGTTGAGTTACCAAGAACATTTCTGCTTTGTTGTAATTCAGAAAGGTTTTTTTTCCCCTTCAATAGCATTTTCTTTTTAGAAGGCAAGGGAAGAAATTCCAAATTGTATTATGCATGATAAATAATTCAGATATAAAATTATTGACCAGTTCTAATATTTTTGTAAAGTTTTTAGTTTTTCCAAGTCTCTAAATTACATTTCAATTCTGTAATTCTCAGGGGCTATTTGATGATTTATGATTTATACTATGAAATTGAGCCTGTTAAATTGTCCTCCACATTTCAACACCTTATTTATCGAATGGCAGCTGATGAAGACCCACATAAACGATGTGGAGTAACTGATGAAGATATTGAAAATCAAGCACCTGAAGGCAGAGAAAATCAAATATCTGAGGCTCGTGCAAATGAAGAGGTTATAATAGATGTAAGTGTTTTATATGGGCTTGTATAAAATACATGGATATTATGTAGAATGGGGTCATCAATAGGAAGACCACAGACTAAATCCAGACCACCTGATGCTTTTGAATGGACCCTAAAAATGTTGTTATAATAATAATAATAATAATAATAAGTATTATTATTATTATTATTATTTTCTTTAGAGTCTGGATTTTGATAATACCATTAAGAAGGAATTGGGGCCTTGCCAAAAGATAATTCACTACACGTGATATAGAGCATAATCTATTAATGTTGGTTTGTTTTCTAACTCATTGTTAGAAGTGAACTGTGAGTAGGATCCCTTGTATATGAAAGCAGGGTGTGGTGTATACCCATTCTAGGGTCCAGATTCTCAACCATCCAATAAACAGTCCCTGGGAAAGACAGGAGTTTTGAAACTAAGGAAAAGATTAAAATCTGTGGAACGTGTAGCTATATATTTTCTGAAAGAAATTCCACTGTTATATGCAAGCTCCTGAGGTTAAGCCCCTGATAATAGCTAAAATGCTTTCTTTGGCATTCCTTACCCTACTGAAGGGGTGGGCAATAAAACAGTAGCAGTTCGCCAGGGTTATCCCTTGGTAGGCTGCCACTGCTATATTTATCTGCTCCCATGGATCACAAGAGTCACTTCACCATCATCAACCTGAGATGGTCGAGAAAGGTGCATGATACCCACATCTTTCAGAAATCCTGCTTTTCTGAAAGATGCACTCTGGAACTTTTTCCCTAGATCGGATGATCGGATTCGGAGATGTGGACATGCCCATAGTGATCCTCGGTGACCTGGGCTACCTCTTGCTCCCCTGGCTTATGAAGCCCTACACAAATAGCTAGCAAGGAGGAGTTCAGTAATAGACTGAGTAGGTACAAAATGATGGTGGAATGTGGGTTAGGGATGTTGGCGAGGCAGCAAGGGGGGAGGAACAGGAGCTGGTGCTGGTGGGGGGAAGGATCAGGAGCTGGTGCTTTTCTGGGGAGACGGCTTAAAAGCCAGTTCCCCCAGCACCGTCTCTGCAGTGCTGCCTGTCCCCATAGTGCTGTGGAGACGGATAGAGGCAGCGGGGTGGAGGATAGGATAGGCTGCTCCAGCAGCAGCCTCTGTCCACAGGGATCCCATGGCTGGCTAATCTCCTCCTCCTTCACTTTCTGTGCCTTCACCACCTAGCTTTCTTCCTGGCTGATGCCAGATGTGTCTTGTCCAGACTCAATGACCACGCTTCAGAAGTTGGCCAACCCTCCCATGGAGAATGGCATCCAGATAGTCATAGAAGTGGCAGGTGTGAGGTATTGCCCCAGAGTATCCGCTCTTCTTCTTAACCTTAAGATCTGACTGGTGCAACTCCTTCATTTTCACCCTGCACTGCTGGGCATCCCTGTCATATCCTTTTACCCAAAGGCTGTGTGGAATCTTGCTGTAGATCTCAGCATTCCTCTGTCTGGTTCTGAGCTCAGTGAGGTTGGCTTCATTTCCCCACACCTCGTTAAGGTCCATGATATCCTGGATAATCTAGTTTGGTGCTTATCCTAGCCCCATGGAAGTAGAGGCCATGAGAGCACAAGCACTCGCTATCTTTGCAGTGTGTCTAAGATTGCTGGAGGACCTTATGTCCACATGTCCCGCAGTGTGCTGCTTGCTCGCAAGGCAGTCCACAAGGGATAGACAATTCTATGGTTCCCAGGGCTTTTTGAGCACAGCAGGAGAGCAATAAAGGTGGAAGTGCTGACCAGAGCTATCATAGCAGACAGCTGAGGGAGGCCTCCCAGAGTTGAATAGAGCTGGATTTCAGGCAGCAGTGCATGGAAAAATCATGGAAGACTATAAAAAGGGGAATAAGAACAACCCAGGAAATTATAGACCGGTCAGTTTAACGTCTGTCCCAGGGAAGATAATGGAGCAGGTAATTAAGGAAATCATATGCAAACACTTGGAAGGTAATAAAGTGATAGGGAATAGCCAGCATGGGTTTGTGAAGAACAAGTCATGCCAAACTAATCTGATAGCTTTCTTTGATAAGATAACGAGCCTTGTGGATAAGGGAGAAGCGGTGGATGTCATATACCTAGACTTTAGTAAGGCATTTGATACGGTCTCGCATGATATTCTTATTGATAAACTAGGCAAATATAACTTAGATAGGGCCACGATAAGGTGGGTGCATAATTGGCTGGATAACCGTAGTCAGAGAGTTGTTGTTAACGGTTCTAAATCCTGCTGGAAAGGGATAACAAGTGGAGTTCCTCAAGGGTCTGTTTTGGGACCCGTACTGTTCAATATCTTCATCAATGATGTAGATATTGGGATAGAGAGTACTCTTATTAAGTTTGCAGATGATACCAAACTGGGTGGGGTTGCAACTTCTTTGGAGGATAGGGACATAATTCAAAATGACCTTAGCAAGTTAGAGAAATGGTCGGAGGTAAACAGGATGAGGTTTAATAAGGAGAAATGCAGAGTGCTCCACTTAGGAAGGAACAATCAGTTCCATACATACAAGATGGGAAGCGACTGTCTAGGAAGGAGCATGGCGGAAAGGGATCTAGGGGTCATAGTGGACCACAAGTTGAATATGAGTCAACAGTGTGATGCTGTTGCCAAAAAAGCAAATATGATTCTAGGTTGTATCAACAGGTGTGTTGTAAGCAAAACTCGTGAAGTCATTCTGCCGCTCTATTCTGCACTAGTTAGGCCTCAGCTGGAGTACTGTGTCCAGTTCTGGGCGCCACATTTCAAGAAAGATGTGGAGAAATTGGAAAGGGTACAGAGAAGAGTGACAAGAATGATTAAAGGTCTAGAGAAGCCTATGAAGCCAGGCTTCATGAACTGGGCTTGTTTAGTTTGGAAAAAAGAAGATTAAGGGGGGACATGATAGTGGTTTTCAAATATCTAAAAGGGTGTCACAAGGAGGAAGGAGAAAATTTGTTCCTCTTGGTTTCTGAGGACAGGACATGGAGTAATGGGCTTAAAGTGCAGCAGGGGAGGTTTAGATTGGACATTAGGAAAACATTCCTAACTGTCAGGGTGGTCAAATATTGGAATAAATTGCCAAGGGAGGTGGTGGAATCTCCCTCTCTGGAGATATTTAAGAACAGGTTAGATAGACATCTGTCAGGGATGGTGTAGACGGAGCTTGGTCCTGCCTTGAGGGCGGGGGGCTGGACTCGATGACCTCTCGAGGTCCCTTCCAGTCCTATGATTCTATGATTCTATGTACAGTGCATTGTTTCAACCAGGCACAGTGTAGAATAGTGTTACTCCTGGTGAAGAGCAGAAGTATGGGAATTGACTACCCCTAAGGATGACATGATAGGCTTGGCAGTGTGAACGCTTTGCTTAGAAAATTGACTGTAGGTATCTAACTTCCGTGTGAAGTCCTAGTGTAGATCAGGCCTTGTAAAGCATAGAGGGCCAATATCAATATCCCGTCCACTAATATTTGCTGCTGGATGACATAACCCAAAGATCTGTAACCATGTGATACAGTTGGGACTGGACCCACTCGCATTCATTGCAACATGTGGTGGAGAACATGGACAATATAATGCTGCTGAAATGAATTTTGGAGAGCTAGCAACAGCAAGGGCTCATACTGTGACAAATTATTGCCCAGCAACAACAGCTAATTTGGGAACTAGTGTCCCAGAGTTTGACACATGAAAATTTGATCCAGCAGGTAACAATGTTGTTATATCCAACATCACATTTACTGGACCTGTAGGAGATGTCCTCTCCCCCAAGCTACCCATATGAATTATAAAAATAAGCCTTGACGGTGACCTCAGTGCCTTGCTGGTCACCTTTGAATAGGTGATCATTATGGCACATTGGCTATCAGAACATTTGTTAACCCTGATAGTCCTACACTTAAGGTTGCCAGATGATTTAAAAAAATACTGGACACTCTTGACATTACATCACAATCTACGTTGCATCTTATTTAGAAAATACTGGCCATTTATATTTTCTCATTTATATATTCTCAATCTGTTTCCCGAACAGAAAGCTCAAATACTGGACTGTCCAGTTCAAAACCGGACACCTGGCAACCCCACTGAAGTACTAGATTACTCCACAGTAAAAGCAGCCATATTCGACTGTCTAGATATTAACCCTGAGTTGCTCCACAAGAGGTTTCTCAAATTGAGGTACACCGTCCCACATTGTAGTAAAATGTCTGAAGGACTAGTGTTGGCACTAGTTAGTCTCAGAAAAACAGACGAAAGTGCAGGTGGTGGAAATTATTGATTTAGAACAGTTTATCCATATTCTCCCAGTTGTGAATAAGGAGAGGGTGAAGTACTATCTTCCATCGATCCTCATGGAAAACAACAAGATTGCTGAGGGGGTCAGCCTTACCAATAATGAAGAAAGTGCCCCTGGAACCAAGATTCTAATTCATGGTATAGGTTGGGCTTAGAGTGAAGACTGTGTCAAGTGGAAGTTGAGAGCCACATTGAGATTTGCATAGCTGGTTAGCAGTCACTCTGGTCTACTCAGTTATATTGGGACAAGACCGGAGATGGTGTGGAGAACTCCAGCAACTATGGAACAAAGACTCTCTTTCCTAACAGAGGCTGACCAAAACCCCAAAATGAGGGGCCCTCTTTGACATGACAAGGCAGAGGGTCCTAGCTGGGACACTCAGGTCTGCCAGGAATGCTGACCAACCAGCCACCAGACCAAGCTTTCACCCAGTTTTAGCACCTAAAAAGTAACTTCCCATTGGGATTTCAGTCCTTTTCTGCATGAAGGAATGTGAGATGTGGAGGACTACAGCAAGCCACTGCACATAGCTTTGGTTTTCCATCGCAAAATCATAAATTACCACTGCTCTAAGGAAACCCATTAGTAAAGGAAACAATTATACTTTTATAGTATCACTAACTCAGTGCTGCCGGTCAGCGTCATAAAATCCTTTTCAAATTCAGAGTGTTTGGGCCAAGAAAATAGTATTCTGGAGAACGATAGAATCATGTTTT